TGTACTATTTATAGCGAAAAAAAAAAAAAAATATATATATATATATATATATATATATACATATCGATGTATATTGCATTTGTCGTGTCGTGTAAGGCCGTTAGATAAAGGAAGGAGTGAAAGGAGTTATAAAAAAAAAAACACATATACAATGCTCGTAAACAAAACAAAAAAATTTGCGCCGACTACGTTTTATTTATTTATATACAACCTGCCCACAAAAACTCCACCACACGTGTCTATCCTCTCTCCAACGTATCTTCCAACAAAAAAAAAAAAAAAAAAAATTGATTCTGTCCGGTTCAGTTAGTTTTTTTTAAGACCCTTAAACTTTCTGGCCAAAAAGAATTGTTCGGTGGATTCGTCTCTCGTAGCATCGGGCCTGACCACTTTGACACTTTCGTAAAACCTCGACAAATTCTCTTCGAACTGATTTGTTTTGCCGCCGTCCCAAACTTTGACAACAAACGTGCCGTGCAATTTACTGTTCTGCAGCGCAAACTTCATGGCATTGTAAGCGAGCAACATTATGTTGTCGTGATCAATGTCTCTTATACCGGTTGCGTTTGGAGCCATGTCGGACAGAACCAGATCGACCTTATTACCGTTTAATAATTTCCACAAAGTTTGCTGCGTGCTCGCGTGTGTAAAGTCCATATTTCCCAACACGGTTGCACCTTCAACGGGATAAAACGGAAGTTTGTCTATCGCGTAAACTTTGCCAACCGGACCGTTCTTTTTGCCGTTTGCGTTGGTCAAATTGACGGCAACTTGGGTCCAGCTGCCAGGCGCCGCGCCGCAATCCATCACAGTCAGACCCGGACTGAAAATCTTGAATCTGTCGTTGATCTCCAAAAGTTTGAACGCGCTTCTGCATCTGTAGTTCTCTTGCTTGGCTTTCTCCACGTAAGGATCGCTCAACTGTCTCTTTAACCACAACTGCGAACTGTGTTTCTTTCCCTTCAAGTTACGCGGTGTCTCCTTCATCAGCGCGCGGCAAGTGTGCACGGTTCTTCTCATCAAAACGCTCATGTGGAAACAATCCATCTTCTCTGATCGACTCCTTCCGCTTGTAGTTTTTTTTTGTTTTTTTTTTTTACTGACTTTCCTACGAACAACTCAACAAACGTCACACGGACTCCAGGCCGCGGCCATGTTGCACACTTGATGGTGCCGCTTTGTGCCTTCACGTTGGCAGCCGTGCGTATCAGCTGTTTAAAAACCGTAGTTCGGTTGGCACGCGTGAGAAACCGGAGAGACCTCCGGCTACATTCATGTCACGTATATTACATACATATATATATATATATACACGTTTGGTATAGGCGCACACATGTATATTCGTATACGCACGTATATACGTATGCCTATCGCGCGACTTGAGTTGAGGAGAGTTGCCGGCGAGGCAGGCGAGGATGTGTGACCGAATTATCTGAAGACTTTTGTGCGCGTGAGATATCTCGGTTCCCGGATGTTTTCTCCGATACAGTGATTCGATGATGAACCTCACGGCGGGTAATCCGCACGGCAATGGCTTGATCTACGCCGGTTTCAATCAGGATCAAGGTACGCGCGGTGCCCCGCACCTGTTTTTTTTTTTTTTTTTTTTTTTTTTTTTTTTTTTTTTTTGTGGGAATTATTTTGACTTCACGCGATTAAACACGAGAAACGCATCATCTCGAATCCTCTTTCGCGTCTAACCT